GTCATCAGATTCAACCTCAATTTAAATGGAATACTACTAACTACACCGAGTTTAGTCCAAGTGTTATCCCAAGGTAATCTTGACTAGTGACTGCTGAAGGACAAACTTATACTAGGCCTATCTGCAAGCTTATCACCGAGTAGTATTCACTGCATTAGACACTTCGCACAAATCCAAGCACAGCTCCTAGCCGAAAGCCTATGCGGATTGCTGAAATTACAAATTGTTCCGTTTTTCAGCCTTTGCATGACCGCAGTAAATTGAAGGGTTGAAATAATTACTAACACTTAAGGCAATTTGCCAATACAAGCGAACATCCGTGTCCCAGGAAGCAATTGAGAAGAAGAAGAAGAAGACTCGATCGCTGGGACAATATGTTTATTCGCCTGACGTTTCGGCATCCGTCGCGGATTCGTCATCACAGACGGATATCGAAACGTCAGGCGAATAAACATATTGTCCCAGCGATCGAGTCTCTTCTTCTCACTTAAGGCAATCTTGATTTTGGAGGTAGTCTGTATCTACTTATAGCTGCATCTGTCTCATGCGTCTCATCTATTTCATGAATATATGTATATGCATATTCGTTTACTCATTCGTCCCGCCCTGAATTATTTCCTTAACTAACGTGCTTTCTTTGTAGACGGCATTGTCGAAGCTCTCTTTGGAGAATTGGACAAAGTCAAGCGACTTCTCAAGGCGATTCTCGACCGCTTCCCCGTAATTCGTGTAGGTGACCTCTCATTCGCTTAGCGGGCTGTGCCCGCAAGCCGTTTTCATCACGCATCTTTATCCACGTCAATCTCTTTTTGCAGGCAAGCCCTGCTGCTATATATACACACAGCATTCATTTCGCGCGACCGACCGTCTGTCAGTGCCAACTTTCGTAATTTCTTGACATTGTGTTGTCTTTTGGCTTAATTTCCCTTAGGACTTGTACTTGTTGCGGCTGCGATCATGACTGATCTAGCCGGCCCCGCTCATATTCCGTAAGTTGCTTCTCCACACGCGACGACCTGTGGTAGCAGAGCTGAACAATTCGAGCAATCTTCTTCGCCAGCGCCGGAGACAGAATTACCAAGGTTCAAGAACCATTTCCATGTCCTAGCGGACTGAGTTGAGCCAGGTTTTGAGCTGACACCCACTTCGACGTTTCCAATTAGGTAACGCTTTCGGATCGAGGGCAGTAGTGACGTCGACGGTGAAGAACGTGTCAAAACCACCTCACTCGTCTTCTTGGATTGCCTGGGATATCCTTGCAATGTCGTCGCAGCGAGTACGGACAGTTTTATTTGAGAC